CATTTCAGTTGTTTTACTTTTTGCACTTATAAATACTGCTTTTATATACATTCATATAAACCAGCTGCGGGGGTGTATGTTTTCATTTCTCTTGGCTAGATCCATAGGAATAGAATTCCTGGATCATATGCTAAACTTATATTTAACTTTTTGAGAAAATGCCAAACTGCTTTCCACAATGGCTACATCATTTCTCACTTTTACTAGTAATGCTGGAGGATTGAACCTGTATTTAATGTGCCCTTTTTATTTTCAAAAGGTTGAAATTCAAGGAAAGTTCTTCGAGGGAACTAAAGGAGCTTCTTATATGTCTAGGCACATCTGCTTTCATCTGCCTGGCCTTTTGGGGTTGAGTACTATCTGTGTACATTCAGGGCAACTTTTCTCTTGAGAGGAGTACACAAGGGTATATTTAGAAGGTAATATTGAGATGAGCTTAAAAAAGGTAAACGTAGACTAGAGTGGGCATTTTAGAGATCATTAAAATAGGCTCAGTAGAAGGGTTGATTGCATGGAATTTCTTAGTCCTACAATCGTTTTTATATTCCAGGGGTAGCTTTTCTTGATTAAGTCTGTGCTTTTCAAATTGGATGGATTTAGGGTGGGAGGTAGAGATTTCTTTTTAGGCTCATTGAAGCATGTGAGTAACAGATTTGACAGAGCAGATAGTAGTCTTGCCAGAGCCACAGCCAATTTTATATTAGTGCTGCTGGCTCTGACTGATTCATGGACCAAGATCCGTCCTGGGTGATGGCAGACTTTATTCTCAAGGAAGAATGATACATTTGGTTCTCAAGAGAAATGTCATCTCCTAGACAGAGGCAAGTTGTGAATATAGTGAGGGATTAATGTTCTCAAAAGAGTTTGCTACATTGTTACTGGGATACAGTATGTGAATGACATTTATGGTTTTAAAAGAAAGTTTTTTGTTTTCTTTGAAAACAAAATGTGAGATGGTATCTAAAAAGGATTTGTTATAGAAATAAAACTATTGCTATGTCTTTTTTTCCTTTAAAATTTAAAAATTTTAACATTTATTTCACCTAATAATTACACAGTGTAATTCTTTTTTGGGGAGGCGGTACTGGAGATTGAACTGAGGATCATGCTAGGTGAGCATTCCACTAGTGAGTTTAATCCCATTCCATTTTATTTTTTTAATATTGACATTGAGTAATGCTGAGTTGGCAAAACTGGGCCTGGAATTTGCAGCCTTTCTGCCTCAGCCTTCCAAATAGCTAGAATTATAGGCCTGGGCCACTTAGCCTAGCTCAGTGTGATGTTTTGACTATATATATATATATTTTTTTTTCATATATCCATATAATGATCAAATGAGAGCAATTAGTATGTTTATTACGTCAAACATTTTCTAATTTATTATCTGGGTAATCTTTCAACACACCTGTGCTCTAGATGATTCATAAAAGAGATAGCATATATGAAAGCATCTAGCCCATATCTAATACTCAATGAAGTTTGCTTATTCATTCATTTATATGTGTGTGTTTTGATGAATAAGATTTATTTATATTTATGTATTCATAAAGCTCCTTTGTTTTGTGTCCCACTGTCTGAAGGTTAAGTTATATTCTTATCCTCTGGAGGAAATTTGACTTTTTTGATTATTCTTAGATTTTAAAAAATCCACCTGGGTGTGATGGCACCTCAGCTGGGAGGCTGAAGCAGGAGGATCACAGTTTAAGCCCAGGCTGGGCAACTTTGCAACTGAGCAAAATCTTGTCTTAGAATATAAAATTAAAAAAGGGCTGGGGTCAAAAAAAAAAAAGGAGCTGGGAGGGTAGATCAGTGGAAAGGCCCTGCTGGGTTTAACCCCTGGTACTATACACAAATACACAGATACACACAGTTCAATAGTCAGTTTTAATTGCCAAGTATGGTTAATTCAGAAGTTACACTATCTTGTTTCTTTATTTTATTTTTTCTAGTGCTGAGGCTTGAAATTCAATGTCTCTAGCAGGCTAAGCAAGCCCTCTACCACCAACCTCTGGCCCCAGCCCAGAATTACCAACTTCAAATAACAATAGTATTAAAATTTGAATTAAATACAAAGGTGTAATTGAAAAATACATAGAATGTTTTAACTTTTACAAATTGTGTAATAAGACACATTGCCATTACTCTTTCTCCAAGTAACCCCCACTCTCCTAATCTGAACACATCAATCTGTTTATTCTTGCCACTTTTTGAAAAGGTTATGAAAGCCTACTTTCATGAACATCTTTAGTTTTGCTGTTCTGGCTGCTTTGCTGTCCTGAACTGATTCAAACTATTACCTTTCACTTTGGTGCAATTTATGGTCACTTTGACTGTGGGGAAAAACTATACGTCTACAGAGTGAGTTCTAGTGAATAAGGCGGATGGGACCCGGCGTAATGTTGTTGTGAGGCTGCCTGTCTGTTGGGTGGCTCCCAGCAGCAGCATTCACCCTGGCTTTGATCACATCTCCTAAACAACGTGGAAGGAGGACTTCCAGAACTGCTTAAGAAAATGGCAACAATGATAGGATAAGTACGTTTGAAGCTAGGATGAGTATTGAGAGGAGTTAATAGTAGTATGTCTTTAGCTGTAATACATTTTTAAAATTTGAACATGGATCATTTATTTTGAGCGCCTCTTTCAGCTTTTCCTGTTCTCTTTGCATACTTCACATGCTACCTTCATGGCTTGGGATTTCTCTAGAGAGCTCAGCCTGGGCAACTCAACAAAACCCTGTCTTAAAATCAAAACTAAAAAATACCTGGGAATGTAGGTCAGCGTTGGGGTAGGGGTAAGAAGTGAGCAGGACAAGGAAATTCTTACTTGACTAGTACTAGTACTACAGAGGAGTGCTCTCAAAGTCTGACAGTGTTTTGAGCTGAATCTTGCTTTGGGGAACTTTCTGGAGGTGTTATGAGTTGAATTGTATGCCCCAAAACTCATTTGTTGGAGTCCTAATCCCTAGTACCTCAAAATACAACTATGTTTGGAGATGCCTCTACAGAGGCAATTAAAGTAAAGCAAGGTTATATGGATCAGACCTCATCCTTTGTGACTGATGTCCTCAGAAGAAAATACTAGGACATGGACACATGCAGAGGAAGGCAAGAAAGAAAAGATAGAGGGCCATCTACAAGCCCAGGCAAGAGAACTCAGAATGCAATCAAGCTAGCCTTGAACTTCCCACCTTTAGAACGTGAGAAATGCAGTTCCCCAAGAAGGTGAAGTGCTTGGGTTTGTTTTTTTCGTCTCCATCAGGCAGCCAGCCTCTCTACCTTCTTTGTCCTGTCCTTTTAATTCATCTTGTAACAGAGGAGCAGCTTACTACCCTATGCTATGAGTTGTGTACTTCTGGCCCATAGTAATCACAGATCTATGTATAGCTAAACTCCAGCACTTAGACTGATCACAGCACAGCAGCAGCCTCTCCATGTGTTTCCTTGAGACACAGACCAGTTTTTTTCGCGACTTTTATATTTCCCAGGTGTGGATCAGACACTAGTCCAGTCCTTTCGAGCTGTCATGTAATCCTTACACATGAGGCTGAATTGGTGTGATGGGAGTCATTGCATAGTTATTTCTATAGAAAGATTTTCCCAATCTCCCCACATTCCTACGCCATTTAGACTGTCTTGTGAGCAAAGGGCTTAAGAGACCTTCTGCCAGATATCTGCTAAACACTTGGAAGATTTGCATCTTGCACTGGCCACTTTGTAATGAAATGATTATTGTCTTTTTTGTTTTTCCAAATCAGTAATTAGTGCTCTGTTGTTCATCATTACTGAATTCATTCAGCCATAGTGAAGCTGCACTGAGGGTTGTGATATGGTTTATATCTAGATGTCCCCCAAAACCTCATACAATCAAAAGCAGAGCTTCTGGGAGTCTCCAGAATGGATCATGGGTATACTGTAGTTATTGGTGGATTAGTCCATTGATGAGGTTATAGCTAAATGAGTTGATTAGGAGGTAGAGCCTGGTCAGAAGAGGTGGAGGTCACTGGGAGTGTGGCCTAGAAAGGTTTATCTCCCTTCCCTGTTCTCCCTTTGCTGTGTTTGCATCCTTTCCATCATGCCTTGAGCACGTGGTTAGGTAGCATCACAGGAACAACCCCATGTTTTAGTACCAAAATCTTTCCAGTCTTAGTCACTTTTCTCATTACTGGCATAAAATACTCAACACATGCAACTTTAAGGAGAAAAGATTTATTTTGGCTTACATTTCAGTCCATAATCAGCTGGCTCTAAGGTAGGACAACATGAGCAGAGAGGCGTGACAGAGGAGAGTTGTTACATAGCACTTGGGGTATGTAGCATGTTTCCTGACCCTACCCTTTCCTAGTTAAGAGGTACAAAAGTGGAAGACTTTACATTGAGACAAGAACCCTAAAGAACCACATTTCCCAGAGTTCAACCATCCAGACACTTGGAGGCCTCCACAACCATGATGCAAAAGGACCTGACTGCTATTGACACTGGTGACAGACCTTGGCACCATCCACATGGTGCTGATTTTTCAAGCATGTAGAATACAAGAGTTGTGGGTCATGGAAACTTCTGCCCAGATTTCAGAAGGCCCAGGAAGTCAAATGAGTAGTATATGAGGCTGTGAGAGTGAAGCTGAAAGTGCAGGGGAGACCCTAGAAAGTTGGAGAAGCCAGGAACTTTGCATGTCTGAGGAAAGCCATAAGCACTGAGCAAAGTCAGCCCCAGAGATAAGCCTTTGGGGCTGTAGCCACCAGCAGTGCTGTAAGGAGGGGCTGCCCAAGCCATTTGAAGATCAAATCTCACTGCATCTTGCCTCAGGTGCTAGACAGGGAATTAATGTTTGCCTTGCTGGTTTTTCATCTTGCTTTGGTCTATTTCTTTCGGACTGTCCTTCCCTTTTGAAATGGAAATGTTTAGCTCATGTCATTGTATGTTGTCAGTGTTTAACTTTCTTTCTGTTTTTTTTTTTTTTTTTTTTTTTTTTTTGCTGGGGTCTTACTGCTAAGAGTCTCAAAGGAGACTTTGGAATTGAATTTTTCAGTAATGCTGTAAGTTTTAGGGTTTTGACACCTTTTAGAGCTGGACTACATGTATTTTACCTAAAGAGATATGCTTGAGTCTTTGAAAGACTTGGGACAAAATGTTATGTTTTATATCTAGACTCCCTCCAAGCCTTATAACATCATTGGGTCTGAAAGTACTATACTCATTGGTGGATTAGTCCATTTATGAATTTGTAGCTAAGTGGATTGTTTGGAGATAAAGCCTGGTCAGAATAGGTGAGTCACTTGGAGTGTGGCCTGGGAAGCTCTCTGCCTTCTCCCCAGCTCCCTTCCCTCCCTCTGCTTCCTTTCCGCTATGCTGTGAGCTCTCCTCTGCATGCCTCTTTGCCTTGGTGTCTGCTTTGAAGTTAGCCAGCTATGGACTGAAACGGGAACAAAAATAAGCCTCTCTTCCTTTTAGTTGAAGTGGCAGGTATTTTGTCCTCACAGCAAGGAAACTGACTAGGACAGATTGACCCTGGAGAGAGCTTTGCTGAGGCTTGGTGGTGGAACCCTGGCCCAGTCCAAGATGATCTTTTTCCTTAGGAGCTCTGTGAGTAGCAAGGGAAGACTCCCTTGTGAAATAACAGATCAGGCATGTTTCCTTGAGGGGGATTATTGGCTCTCTGGTCTGATAAAATCTCTATCCTAAGAACTTGCCCCAGGCTTCTGTTTGATGATCCTTGCTCTCTGCATGTTTCAAAATGGTCTCTTTTATGCCTAGGGTTGCAAGTGGTTAGGGTTGGTGCCGCCTAAGGAGAATAGCAATTAGAGGGGAAGCTGGCATGCAAGGAAAAAGGAGGGGCAACTTGTTAAGACTTAATAGGCCTAATGAGCTGGAGTTTTAAAAGAACTCAGTGCTTTCATCTATCCATGGTAAAATCTAATCATTACGCTGCCTTTACACAAATCCTGGTCTATCAGAAGAGTTTACACCCTCCATAAAGTACTTGGGTCAGACAGTGGCTTGCTAAGGTCAAAGGTGAAGTCTCAAGGCTGTGCAGGTACCTACATCATACCTTCGTCCAGTGTGTTTATTCATGAAATGTTTATCGATTATATACTAGTGGCTAGAGCCCAAGTATAGACAGGCAAAATGAAAATTCTACCTTGTAAACCCTTACTTTGGAATAAAGTAAGTGGGCAGTCTTGAAATGTAAAGTTTCAAAGTTACTGAGTAATGTTAACAGAGCTGTTGACTCCCTTTCTCACATCCAGGGCCTAAAGGAGTCAGAGTGGGAGCAAATCTTTCTTTGGAAAGAACTATATGAAGACTGCCATCATATGAGTGCAGCCTTAGAAGTTTACAGGTCTCAGTGCTTGGAGAGATTGTACCGGGATCTCATTCTTCCTCAGCCTGCCCAAATCCACTGTTTCCTTTAAGACCAGTTAGCTCTGTGCCCCAGTTATAAAATAAGGCTTCTCTGATTTATGTCAGCCCTTAAGGATTTCCACTTATGATTCTTGCAGTATTTAACACCTAACTACAAGATTTATTTTAAAACAACCCCGATCAGCTTTGAGTACTCCACAGTACTGACCCATGGTCCCATTGCCTTATGTTCATATGTATGTAAAATGCAGTTTTACAGACAAGACCCGTGTGCTATAGATAAAGTAAACTTGGTGAGGGGGAACAGTCCCCTTTGGGCTCTGCCTCCCAATTACATTCTGTATTCCATAACTCATGAGGACCACCCCATTCAAGACAGAGACTCTGAGTAGTTGCTACCCACTGGGAAGTTTGCTGGCATGCAGTACTGTGTGTAAGGGACACTTTTATTAGAATGGTTTACGGAATGTTTTTGTGCTGCCAGATTGGGAGAATTATATGTTTTTACAGTTCTTGGTAAAAATCCATCTTTGCTGCTGAAAGATTATTGTCTGAGGAAATAATCAAGCGCTTGAAGGAGAAGACGTATATACAAGGAGAGAAGCATTTCAGTTGCTCAACACTTTTGTCAGTGGTATGGATTTTAAGCCTGATACTCCTTTTAAGTTGGAAGAAAAAATCCTGAAGCTTGTCTGGGTAGATACTAGTATTCCGCTGTTGTTAAGGATACTGTAGTATTTCCACATTCTGTGATGCAAGAATTAGCAGAAGGACTTTTGCCTCTCAAATTCTGTGGTAATTCAAAGGGAATTATTTTAAAGCACTGCCTTTGTGTCCTATGATGTGGTTTGTCAGATGCTAATATGTTCTCGTGCTTCTGGAAAAATGTGTAAGTGTGTTCAGCAGTCTCCGTTTATGAATCCATATTGTTCTTTTTGGCTATAGGTAACTAGCTACTTGTTCGTGCGGAATTAGTTTGCCTCCCAACTCCAGCAGTGTAAAAGATTCCAACAGAGTGGATGCTCAGAAATATTAATCTTACCTACTTGTTCAATGTCTCTTTGTTATTTTTGACAGAGAGTAGAGATTAAAGGTGTGGTATCACTGCCCCTAGAATAGTGGTTCCCAAGCTAGTTGTACATATAAGTCATCCGAGGAATTTCACTTTTGATTACAGATGTCTGGACGAGGTCCCCCAGAATGGTTTTTGGGTCATACATGGGAGTAGGGGGAGAGTGTGTGGGAGTAGCAGCAGTTTCAAACCACTTCAAATCAGTGGTGGGGTGTGGTAGAGAAATAGCTAAATAAAGAAAATCTCCAAAGTATAACAAAGTTCACATTTTTCGACATTAGTTTTTAATCTGTTCTTTTGAAGCTCTTTTTTAAAAAAATAATTCTAGAGGTTTGCAGCTTAGAATTTTTATAATTTTGAGGACTGGAGAAGGTAACAGAGGTTATTAAACTTTTTTGGGAGCCTACCACGGATTGTAAACTTTCTTAATAACAGCTTTAAGATATCATTCACGTACATTAAGTTCACACCCTGAATGTGCACAGATGAATGGTTTTTGTTAAGTTCACAGGTTGTGCAATCATCATGACAGTACATTTTAAAAACATTTTAGCATCCCCAAAAGAAATCTCCTAACAGTTACAAGTTTTCTTTTTAAATATTGAAGTCTAACTTTTGTTCATGATAAAGCTTTATAGGCTAGTGTTAAGTTTTTTGGATTCAAGCTATAATTATATTAGATAAGGATATCTCATTTCAGGTCCTATTTGAGAGTTGCATTGTTTTTCTGAAGGAAAAATTAAGTAAATTTGTCCCTCTGTGTTGCATCCAGTCCCTCACATGAAAGGACAAGAAGGGTGTACTGTGCACTGACCCATCCTCCTTGGTCGCCTTACCATGATGTCCCTCAGGTGATGCCTGGCAGCCAGTGATGGATGGCATATTTCAGTGACATTGTGAATGGAATAAGTAGTAAGCTGCTTACTACTTTTGCCCAGTGAATAAATACAGTTTATTTTGCTTGAAATGAGAGAACTTGGTTCGTGTAACTTTTTCCATAGATGTGGATCCTTATTCTTTACATTCCCAAAGGAGGCTACTGTGCACAACTCAGGTTCACAGTTCTTTTGAAATAAATATTCCAGTTAAGTGACTTTTCCAAGAACTAACATTGATGTGGCCTTGCTACACTAGTAGATGTTATTTTACCCAAGATAGGTGATAGCCAAGCCTAAACACTGGAAGTTTGGGATTATAGAATCCCAGCTGACTCAAGGAAGGCAGGCTCCTGGTTTACACATGAATCATCTTCAGGAGAGAAGATGCTGGGATAGGAAGGACTTGTCATCATTCCAGGGGACAGGTTACTTCCCTCTAGCCATTGGCGTCTAGATATAAGATCTGAATACCAGAAAAGTAGTGATTTATCAATAGAACTAACTCTCCTAGCTATATTTTTGTTTTTCTAGCTATAATTCTTGGTTCTGTGAGTTTCCAACACTCCTGTTTCCTTAACACCCATATTATGGAGTGAAATCCATGGACCACCCAAAGCTCCAAGAAAACATCATTTAGTAGTTCTTACCTTCCCCTGGGAACTGTTGGAATTCCTTGCTATATTTATTTATTTATTCCTCTTCAAATAAGACTTTGCATACTTTTCATTGCCACATTTTAAAAAAAGAAAAGAAGAAAGGCAAACAAAAAACCTAACAAAACACCCATGAAACCTCTGTGACCTTAAACAGAAAAATGTTAACTGCTGTTGCTTAAGATCTTCTGTGAATGAAAGAATGCTTTGGGTAGTTCTGGCTTAGTGGGCCACACAGTTTGTGGGTTACCCCAGTGTGGCCTCTTTCTTACTGCGCTGATTTGTCCTTTTCCCTTGGTTCTTTTGGAGCATGGGTGGAAATCAATTTGAAAGGTGATTTCCAATTTCTAGAAATCACTGATGTAGAAGCCATGGACGGTGACAGTTTGGGAATGTCTTAATTATAATTATTTCTATTTTGACCCATCAAGAGGTGATTTGTTTTGACATGAAAAAAACAGCCCAACTATAGTTTGTAAACCTGGCTCACTTTGACAGGTGTCCTTATTCTATTTGTCTATTGAAAGATCTCCAACTTTGAGTTTCTATCTGAGAGGGAGTAGGAGTTTACACTAGTAATTTGTTTCCTGGTCCTTGTGAAGCAAACAAACCAGGGGCCAGCTCTGAGAAACTGTCCTGAAGTGTGCACTTGCTCTGTAGGTACCAGTCTGAAGTTCTCTGTGATTAAATGTGGGCAATTAACAGTATGTAATTACAGTGTGTGCAGTTTCCAAGGCAACATGTGCTCAGTCCCTCTGGCTGAGCGGGACAGATTGAAAGGGACCATGGAGAGGCTTTAGGAACCGTGACCTCTAGACGAATGCTGTCAAAGGGGTTTATGATTACTGCATTTTCATGTCATTCAGGCCAGAGTTCTAGTTAATGGCAGCAGCATTAATGAAAATAAACAGTAGAGAAGCCAGGGTTGCAGGGTGACTTCTGTTAGACAGCACCAGGACACAAGGAAGGATGAGGACAGCCATTTGGATGCTTGCATTTTCCTACTTCTGTCTTCTCACATCAGTTTTGTCCGGAGTAATAAACGGACTCTGAAAGGCTTTTAAAAATTAACAGGTATGTTAAATATTTTTCATCTTTAGTTCTTTACTGGAATGAAATTCACCTACATTCACTTACTGTAAAGTATGCCTTGAAGTTAACATTTAATGAACATTTACTGTGTGATAGGAACTTTCATATGGATTAGTCTTTCGACTCTTAAGTATGCAATTTTTAAAAATCTATATGCAAAGGTTCTATACTTATTACATTTCCAGACTTAATGAAAAATGTGCATTCTGTTTTGTATTTTAGCACAGTATTGAGCTTTGTGGTTTTAGTTATAAAACTGTAAAGGTCAATGGAAAAAGCCTGCAGTTATCATTCAGATAGGGATTTTCTTGTAAATGTTACCATACACAGGCTTGGTGAGCACAGGCAAGTTTCTTAACTTCTCCGAGGCGTTCTACTTCTGGAAAATGAGCTTAGATTTTTGAAGGTTGGCATGTACCTTGAAGAATCCACTGAGAACTAGAAAATTCCTCCCTGAAAATATTACACAAATACTTAAAAATTACATTCAATTTCCAGGGACCACAGATTTCTTCTAAATGAAGCTATTGTTTCGGGCTCCTACAGCTCCAGCTCAGAATTGCTGGTCCCACAAGGATCCAGAGTCTTGAGTTGTTTAGAGTGGCCCCCTGAGGAATGAGTTATTTGATGAGGGAGTAGTTGTTGTTCCTGGCATTTTTCACTGACTGCACTGTGCATTTAGGGTGAGGGAAGGTGGGAACAAACATTAGAAAAATAAATAGAGAGTGAATGGCATCTGGAATGTGAACTGTTTTCCTTGTCATTTTTCACTGTTGCAGCTTTTCAAAAGGAGGTAGGTGGTGTCTTTGCAAAATAAAGGATATGTAGAGGAAAAAAGTCAACATATGTATGGTAGTCTGTTCGTTACTATAATGACGTATCTGTGGCTACATCACTTTATAAAAAAAACAGACTCAGAAGCTCACAGTTCTGAAGGGTCACAGGCAAGGCACTACATCAGCTCAGCTCTAGTGGATGACACCACAGTGCTGAGAGTGTGTGCAAAGCCTGTAAGCACTCACTCCAGGAGACCAGCGTTCTCTGCTAGGACACACACACAGGACCTAAGGACCTCCCACGAGGCCAGCCCTGTCTCGTAGCCATGGCCTTGTCTTGGGGCTGAGCCTGAGAAATCTCCTGGAGCTAAATAAGGGACCTAACCCACCTTTCTGTAGACTAAGTTTGCAGGTTCACTGACTCTTCTTAAGAAAAAAAGAATTTTCAGGATGCATCAGTAAGAGAAACATGAAGCGTTTGTTAGGCAAAGATTTTCCAATGTACTCAGGTGTAGCATGTAGACACATTCAGGGAAATAAGATTTCTTTTTCCCTGGAGCAGAGACATTATGCTTTTCTTGAAAGGTGACTTCCCTGCCCCGAGAAGGGGTAGTAGCCTATTCTATAGATATAGGCCCCTTTTTATTAAATAGGTAATTTAAACATTCTTTGGATTCTGTCAACCTGCTGCTGCTTCTTAGGTTGAGATTCCTGCTCTTTATTTTCTTGATTAAGCCAATTGATCGATTTTCAGTATTCCTGATAGATTTTGTGTGTGATGGGTCTGGTAGGGAAGAACCCTAAATTTTTTTTTTTTTTAGTCTTTTTTGAACCAGGGTCTCACTATGCAATTCAGGCTACCTTAAACTCACTTTGCAGCTCAGGCTGGCCTTGAACTTGCAACGATCCTCTTGCCTCAGCCTAAGTCCTCATATTACAGGCATGTACCACCCCACCTGGCTGAGGACCCTAAATTTAGTCAAAGCCATGCTGGTATTGATCACCTTGGGCATCACTGGCTGGGTACTGTAGGGTGCAGTCATCCATCTTAAAAGTATAATTTTTAGTTATTTGTCTTTCTACTTGTCTTTCATTTTTTTCTATCCTATCTCTGCCTGATGTTATCATCCAATTAGGAGAGAATATGTGTAGTGTTTATTTGGATATTCATTCATTCTTTCTTTCTTTGCTTAGGTGTTGAAAAGTCTTCTAGGACTTTGGAAGGTTAAATGGACTAAACATGAAGAGCTTGAAAGCGAAGTTCAGGAAGAGTGATGTAAGTTGCTGTGACTCATGGTCTGGCTGCTCCACTCTGCTCCCTGGGGTTGCAGAAACAGCCTCCACTCCTCTCTGATAAGCTCCGAGTTAATAAACTACAGACAGCAAAAGCACACAGGCCTAAGCTCAGGCTGCTGTCAGTGACATTCTTTAGGTTTCATACTGTTTGTGTGTGTAGCTTTCAAAAATGACTTTAAAAAAATTCTTGGAACTTGTGCTTTGTATGTAAAGGAGGGGTCAAATTGAATATCTTGAAAGAATGAAGCAATGGTAACCTCAACATTTCTAAAGTTGCCAAAACGCAGATTCTGAATGTCATTTTTAAAAGAAACAATTTTCATTAGGGTGGTTATAGAATAACATATTACCATGGCTCATCTTTGGCTTTAAGAAATTTGTTTAACTCTCTATTAAGGTTTTCATGATAAAACAGTAATAGCCACTGCTGCCTGTATCTTCACTCCCTCTGAATTCCCAGGGCACTGACTCATCTGTTGTCCATCTTAGAAGACTTTGGATTGGAGGAACCGGATATTATGTCAGAATTACAAAACAAAATCTCCCATCAGAGGAAATGGAAAAAAATAACATAGCAGAAAGGTTGCACATTGTGATAGCTTAACAAAAGTTTTCCTTTTAAAATCTTGTGGAATCCCAGGCTTGTACTAACTGCATTCCAGGTGCTTTGAGCAGGATTGTTGATTAGGAGTAATTCATGTAGGGGTATTAGATGGGAAGCCCAGATATGTCATCCTTGAAAACGGGCTTGCTCAGTTATTGTTTAAAATTAGGTAATTAAATGTGAACCCAGATTTTATTGCTTTACCACGAATTCTATTTTTACAGCTTGGCATAACTGCATTTTTGCAATAAATGAGACTGCCTCTTTTATTGCCAGCATGTAACATGCACACCTACTTTTGGCTGAAGCATATCTCTTGAGACTGTGATGTGACAAGTAAATTACTACTCTGATAAGGACCAGGCCAGACAAGATGCTTTTAGTGTGATGCAAAATACAGTGTTGTCTCAGAGGAAGAGTTGGAAAAATTAATAGTAAAAAGTTGATCTCACCTACTTTTTCTTAAGGCAAATCAACTAAAACTCAGAAAAGTAACGAGAACTTTAGTGAAAGGTAAATTGACTGAGACTCAGTTAACCAGTAATTAATTAAAACTCAGAATTGACTTGACCAATCACATCTTTAGCCACTAGCCAGAGAGAGCCCCAGACATTTGGCTCCTTGGCTGCCACTGACCTGAGAAACCTCCTTCCTCCTGCTCATCTGCTGGCCATATGATCCCAAGGTTATATAGCTCCTGGGCATTCAGTTAAGGCAGAAAAAGCAATTCAATGGCCAAAAACTGCCTGGTTCAGCAGATGCGAGTTTGTAAATTATGTAATCAGTTTAACAGATGTCTTCCATTCCAATGGAATTTGCATAGTTTCCATTTATTTAAGTCAAGATTATTGTAGCAAAATGTCTTTGGGTCTAGAGTTCCATGATATTTGAACTAGGGCAAGGGTAATGATAGCACATAAATTTTTGGTTTAAAAATTTAAGACTGGTGGCATCAAGAAGAGTGTTGCTAGATTTTAGTTTTTAATAAAGGCTGAAAGAATTCCATGATTAAAAAAATTAGCAATAACACTAATTTATTAAGCTTTATTAAGCTTTTGGGATTTGGCAGTGAGTGGTAGGAGAGGAAATGTTGGAGGAGCCTTGGGGAAGGAGAGCAAAGGAAATTGGTTTGATAAAGCCAGACAAATTCACACAGATCCCCAAATTCATCCCCAATTGTTTCTTCAAGGCTGTGTCACTGTATAGCTGAAAGGAAGAAATAAAAGCTAAAAGAAAACCATTTCAAACCCCATTTGATAAACAGCCATATGCTAATAATGATAATAACTGGAAACCATTATGAATTAGTAAACCATATGTCAGATACTATGCCAACCTCTTCATTTATTTTTACTACAAACCTTACATGGTAGGTTTTATTATTAAACTCATTTTGCAGATGAAGAAACTCAGTCATAGGGAAGCTCAGTAGTTTGTCCAGGTTCTTAGAACTTTAAGTTGTAAAGCTTGTTTTTGTTTTGTTTTGTTTTCCTTTCTTTTTTGCCAAGGACATAGGATTCCAGAGGCTGTGTTTCCTGGAGGGGGAGGAAAAAAAAAATAAAGGTGGAGATTCTATTTGATGAAAAAGGACCATCTAGGGAGAAGCTTGAAAAAGTAACTTGGAACTGGGATTTAGGCTTATGGCCTTTGTAGGTCTCTTATTCTTCTGACCTTGAGTATTTTACCTGAAAATGGAGAAAATAATATCAACCTCACAGGTTTATGGTGAAGGTTAAATACACTAATGGATGTCAGAAGTACATCCCAGGGCCTGATGTTCAGGAGATATCTGTTCTTTTTTCCTACTAAGAAACTCACTGTAAATTTATAGGATTAGAGGGCAGAATATCTGGTAGTAATTACTGCAGAGGAAGGAAATGGAGAGCTGGGTCTGAGAGTGCAAGGAAAGCTTGCTTTTAGTGTACGTCTTTCAGTTTGAGGGTTCTGGTACATGTACATGCACATGTATGTATTATGTATTGCAAGAAGGCAAATTTACAAATGATTACATTCACTTAAATGAGCCAGATGATAATCTTCTTTACCTGAAGCAAGTGGTCTCTCTCAAGCATCTTAAACCACCAGCTATCTAGTGTTCCTGCTTGTGTTTGTGTGTGGGAGAAGGGGAAAGAAAGAGTCCTTTGTATTTCTGGGGGTAGGCAGAAGAGGATGGAATATCAGGTTCACACTTATATAAAGAGAAGACAGCTGACCTACTGGGGTGATCACGTTTCAGCCAGGCTGTGTGTGGCAGGTTTGCAACCAGATTAGTCTGTGGCCATTGAGAACAAAACTCAGGAGTAAAAAGGGGGAAAAAGAGTGGCCCAAAGTAGGGTCCTGTAAATAGCCTTTACCTTAGTCTGCTACTCCAGACCTGTCAGATGGAGAGAAATTTAATTAGTTTCTTCTCTGGAACACTTGATTTAGACTCAGACTGGCTATATATCCAGGCAAATTTATGTAGGGGACTGAGCATGATTCATGGGGATGTGGTTAATGTCATTGTCTAGTTACTTTGATCCCTAAATACATACAACCTTGCAGATAATTCTTAGATTAATGTAAATTTGGGAGCTTCTATTTTGGATGACATTTTTCAGCTCACATTATAACTGTATTTGGGAGTGTCTTCACGCTTGGGTTTGTTACTAGAGAGAGGATATAGGAAAAATGCAAAATAGTCCTCTGCCTCTTCCTATCAGTATTAAGGGTTGAATCTGGAGCCTGCACATTGAGCTATTTCCCCCATCCTTTTTTTACTTTTTATTTCTGAGACAGGCTTTTGTGAAGTTGCTAAATTGCCCAGACTGGACTTGAGCTTCCAGTCCTCCTGATTCAGTCTCCTAAAGTACTAGGAGTATAAGCACTGTTGTGGCTTACATTTAGATATTCTCATAAATAGGGATTTTCAGACCTGGCTGGATCTAAAATGTGAGATACTGGGATTAAGGATGTATAGTACTAAATTAGCCCACTGATTGGAATTAACATAGTTCTGGGTGTGGCTGAATGGATTTACTGAATTTAGAAGCCCCACCCTGGGTATGGTGGCACCACCCAAAAGGTTTGTAGAATGGAAAGGGAAGCCTGCTGCCACTGCTTGCTGCATGGCTGCCTCTTCCCTGCTCTGCCATGAACTGTTTCTCCTCTACAGTGACCGTCTGCCATTTCACTCTGTCTTGGAGCCAACTGACTGTAGATTAAAATCTCTAAAGACTGAGCTGAAATAAACTTACCTCCCTTAACTTGGTGTCAGGTATTGTGTATCTGCAATGAGAAAAGTAACTGAGACAAGAGAGTAGCACCATTTTCTGGACAAGTTTATTTTTTAAAATTAATTAATTTTTATTCTAAACAGAATAAGGCCAAACAAAGTAAAACAGAATAAAGCCAATCAAAACAAAACAGTGAAAAGGGCTTCAAAATAGCTGTCCATACCATCAGATATAATAAAATGAAACAAAAAAGAACAAAATAAAGCCAATCAAAACAAAACAATGAAAGCGATATAGGGCTTCAAGATAATAGGAAATCGACAATGGCTACCATAATATATCTTGCTATCTTCAAAACAAAACAAGACAGTAAAACCCAACCAAACAAAACAATGAAAATGATGCAGGACTTTAAAATAAGATAACAGGAAATCAACAGTGGCTGCCACCTTCAGAAGATCCCCCATAGTTGCTATATTGTATGCTGTTATCCTTTAACTAAATGCTCAGACTACTGGCCTTAGGCCTGCAAAATGAATCAAACAATATAGGCATTAAGTTGTTTTTTTTTACTTCAGTGGATATCATCATCTCAGCCCGTGTTTCTCCAAATCAGCCATTTGCTCACTATGGTGCATAGGGCGTCAGGACAGTTCAGCACCTCTTGTCTCACAGCCTGCCTCAGGGCAGGCTTCAACCCAGTCTGGGCAACTTAGACATTTAGTGAAACCCTGTCACAAACAAACATGGAGTGGAGATAGGGCTCAATGGGCAGGCCCTATGGTCTTCCCTAATACCCCCCCCCCCCACACACACACATACACACACACTGATAAACTTAGGTAAGAGGAGGAAAAAGCATATAGGAAGTAACTAAAGGCAAAATACCAATAGAATGTAAGTACTAAAGAGATTTTTCTTTTTTTAAAAATTTTATTTACAGGCAAGAAATGCAAAACAAAAAAAAGGATAGAAATAATACAGAATTTCAAAAAACATAACAGTAAGAAATGACTAGTCAAAAATAACAGAAATCACTAGTTGATAAATTACATATTGTTATCTTAGAAGTAGTTTTCAAGTTACAGAATCAAAGAATAAAAAGTGGACAATCAAACAATGACAATACAAACTATTCTGTTTGATGAACTAACAAAAACT